TAGGACAAAGGATGAAAAGGCATCAAACATAAAAACATAAGATAATGTAAACTTTTTGGAGTTTCTTTGGTAACTAAGAGATGTAGAAAAAAGTATAGAAAGGTGAATTTAAATAGACAATTCAATATCAAAATTAGAATTTTGTTTTTTGTTCAGTGGACTGGAGAAATTAGCTGCAGTACTCAGGACACAAGCCACCCCAAATGTTTTGCCAGCACATGGAAGTGGGGGGTTGCCAAGACATTTAGCAAGAAAGGCAGATACCAATTAACAATAAACCAAACAAGGTATTACACTTTATCATTTTCTCCATTCCTATTATAAGGGAGGAGGGATAAGGATACAATATGAGTCTTAACAGATGAAAATATCTCATTTTAGGACAGTTTCCATATTACAAGTTTTAAGGTCATTTATAATGCCCTAGGATATCTGCTTTTTTTTAGGCAAGTAATTTAAAACTTGATTTACATATTATGTGAAATATGGCATCCAAGCTATAAAATTGCAGTCCTGCATCATTTCCTGCAGATTTTAGTGATCAATGTCAGTGGTAAAAGATTGGCTCCCAAATTACTGAGATTTCTGCAACACTAGTAACTTTTGCAGTGTCCTTCAAAACCTTCAATTCACATGTTAGTTAACAGGTGAGAGAATATTGTAGGAGTTTGAGTGCTGAACATGTCAGTCATGTATTTTTATTTAACTATAGTCATAATTCACACTGAAATGGGTTGTGAAGAGCTCTGTCCAAATACATCAGACAAACATCCCAGCCTTCTCTAGAGATTGCACAAACTGTTGTCCAACTTTTGAAGCCTCCTGCACACAGGTAGATTGCACAAAAGGCACCACTGCCCCCTCTGCATCAGTGGGTTCCACACAAATACAGCAGCTACTCTGAGAAAAAAATGCAATTTCTTACAAACCGAGGCCCCTCATTCTGTATTACGTGAATGTAGTATGGGAGGGAGAGAAGCAGCATGTTAGCAAGAAAACAGTTATACAGAATTTCAGCAAGCACAGTTTTCAGGTTTGAGGTTCTGAAGAACCTGTCTGATTTTTACTAGCTGCTCTGAAGAAAATTAACTCTATCCCAGCCAAAACCAGCACAGGTTTTTAAGCTTGTTCGCTTACAAAAAAAATTGATAAAAACATCCATTTCTGCTTTTGGGCTTTACTGTGATTTTTTTTCTGGAGCTTTACACACTAGAATCAAAGAACACAGCATATTTTTTTAGCACTAACCAAAGTTAATAAGGACTTACCAAGGCCCAACTTTCTTGCTCTGGGTCTTAGAAGCTGCAGAATATATTAAAATATACATCTATTACTTGAAGTACAGTTTTTAATTGTTTTAGTAACACCTTAAAATTCACTGTTTTCAAGGTATAAACATATTTTAAAATTTACTTGTCATTCTTATAAATCTAGATAATAAGAAAAATACGTTTATCTGTCAAAAATGGAGAAACTAATCATTATATTAAACAGGTATTTGATCAGGTCATATTTAAAAACAAACACCTTTCAAGCTTTACTGAGTAGTTCTGCAGTAAAAAACAAAATTAAAAGCACCATCTTAGTAACGAAAGGATTTCTCCAAATTTCACTATCTGACATAGATTTATAAATCTGAACAACAATCTCCCCAGCACCATTACTTTTAAGGAATGACAAACACTAACAGTGAATATTTCAGCAAGTTTCCCCAAAGTGATTTAGCATACTTTTAGTATTGACTATAAATGTCAAGATTCTAATATGCATACAGATATAACCCATGAATAATGACCATGTAACAATAATGTTAATCTTTCAGAACATGAGTGACCAAGCTTTAGTGCCAAGTATCCTCAGCTCCTGCAGAGCCATATGAAGTGCAGGGGGAGAAGGGGGCACCACCACTAGCAAAAGAGAAATCTAACTTTTAGATCATCATGACAATAATTTAACTTTCAACTCTTCCTGAAGTGCCTTTGATATAAGTCAGCATTTGGGGAGGGCAGATATTTAAGCAGTCATCTAAACATACATTAGTAATTACACTAACGCATTAAGAAATACACAGAAACACATTAAGAAAGAGTCTGACAGTGCTTACAGCACAAAACTCTGACAAACTGAATGGTGGGGTTTTACACTGTTCTGTGACAAAGCTTTTATTAAAAAAAATTGGCTTTAATTACTCAAACAGTAAATAAGTGACGGTATCTTGTTGTATACAACTGATGGTTATACAGTAATATAGTAAAAAGAAAAGAAAAAAGGCCTGTTATTGAGGAATGCAACTACAGATTAAAAATAAATCACAAAACCAGACTAGCTTTCATCTCTCCAATTTTCCTATTACTGCAGTCACTTAAATGAAATTAGTTTATCCAAACCTCATCTCTCCCTCAGGCTAACAAACTACACTAACAATCGCTGTTCATTACTCAGTAGCACACAGCAATGCAGAAAGCACTGAAAATATTTTGCAAATATTACTTCATGATTCCACATATTAGTTCATAATGTTGCTAAGCAGCTGCATGACTACTCTAATTTTACATTTGTCTAAAGTGGCACACAAAACTTTAAATAACTTGTTTAATGATGTAAAGAAAGTGCAAAATCCAGGGACTCTGTTCCAGTTCTCTAAGGACTTCAATTACTTTCCAGTACAATAAAAAAGAAAAAAAAAGAACAGAACATACAACTCACTATTTTATCTGATCCATATATCTTTTGCAATTGTTCAGCAATTTCCTGTGTCCCATCTGGGCTTCCATCATCTATGATGATAATTTCAAAATTGTTTCCACTGAAATGAAAATAATTTTTAAATGAACAAATGGAAAACCCAATTTCACTACCTATGTTATTTTTAAAGGCATGAATCTGAAGAATAGAATACAAAATGATGTTCCTACAGTTAGAGATACATGCTGTAGTTATTCTTGTAGCTGTAAGACTTGCACTTGTAGGGATAAAATGTGTCTCAATGTCACCGCTTCAGGGCCCACGGCAGCAATGCCAACCTCATTGTCACCCAGCGTTACCACAGCATTCAGTTCTAGCCTTGTGACTGTGAAAGGTGAAAATCTAAAACCACTTTTGCGCTTTCGGCTGGCAACGCCTTCTCTAGGAGTTGGTGCTGAACAGACTAGAGCACATGCGAGACCTCTGATGAGACTAATGGGTGCCCTAATTAACCTCGGGGAAGAGCTGCACTCTTCACTGCGGGTCAGGTCCACTCGGCTGCACACCCTCTATCACTGGTGAGAAGCGTTATATGCTTCACATCATGGGTAACGTTATCACCTTACTAAGTTCTGGCGTCACTTTGTAGAGGTTACATATTTCCGAGCTCTACAGATGGCTGTGAGCAACTTCGCCATCAGAGCTCACACCGAGCGTTTACCCCCTCCGAGCCCGTTCCGTGCCAGCTGGTAGCTCCAACTGAGGAGGGACTTTCGGCCCATGCTCGTCCACACCTTTTCTCTACAGCTCCGAGAGCCGCCTCCCATCGCAAAGGGGCTGCTCCCTCCCTCCCTCCATCCCTCCCGCAGAACGGCGGCCCGCGACCGGCCCAGGCAGAGGGACGAAGCTCAGCCCCGGCCCGCCCTAGGATCCGAAGGCCCCGGCACCCCGCCTGCCGCGGCCAGTACCTCTCCCGGAAGGTGCGCGCCAGGAGCCAGACGACGAGGGGCAGGTTCTCCCGCTCATTGTAGGTGGGCAGCAGCACCGAGAACTTGTCGGCGCCGCTGGACGCCATGTCAGCGCGCTGACGCACGCGGAAGGGGCGGGGATGCGCCGCAGCCAATCAGCGCACGCGGCGCGGCCGGAACCGCCGGCGCGCGGCCGACCGGAAGCGGAAGTGACGCGCGGTCTCGTGCTCTGTGTCCCCTCGGCCATGG